CTTACCTTACTNTNTNTATATATATATATATATATATATATATATATATATATATATATTTATATGTATATATATTTACATGCTTGACCTTGGGAAAGCGTTTAGAAACGGTAAAACTTGAGTATCTTAGTTAACTAGCCTCATGGCTGGGGGGAAAGAGACGGTAGCACATCTACGAGCAATACTAACTTCGATAGTCGGTATACTAGCACCATGTACATATGCGTATGTACATAAATACATATATATAGATCATATATATAAATACGTACATATATAAATATATATATATAAATACACAGCTCTGAATAAATAAACAAAATTACATTAAAAAATACACAAGCACGTCCTTCTGTACATTTTTGTTATTGTTTCGCCGGGGTCAAAGCAATTGTTCAAAACAACCAATAAGAACCTCGGAAATGTCGGTTGGGCCAATGGGATGTTCGATCAGATCTGTGTGTGTTCGACTTTTTGTTATCATCACTTTTTGTATCTGCGTATCAACGGTATCATATAATCTTTTTATAATAATCCTCCATTCGCTGGGGGGGGGGCTGTCTTGAATATTTATGTACATCATGATTTGGAATAATAGGTACATATGTAACAGCCAACTCTACTAGAAGTGATATGAGGATACAATAGTATATACGCGGCGACACATATAAAGTACGTGTGTGTAGAACGAAAATTATATACTTGTGCGAGTATGCGGTTTTGGATAGAATACAGCTAACCTTATCGCATGTCTCACCAACAGGGGCACTCGATCTTGTCCTGAGGGGTTGCCTTGCCTACACATTACCATCTCAGATTCGCCACCACCTTCGTATCTGCACATACTTCACTCTAGGCATTCGAATCCAATCACGACAATAACTTAATCAGATGCATGTACTTGTGTGTTTATTAAATTTGTAGCACGATCACTTGTGTGCTCAGTAAGTGTTTGACACAATGTCGGACCTTCCCTGGAGGCCGCGGCCGGTGCCTATAGACCACACAGCAAGGGTCGCCGAAAGTTTGCCCGGCACACGCCCAGCTTCGGTTATTGAAAGTACACCCATCCGCATTCCCACCCCGAAGCCATACACTCCCAGTGCACGCGCACAAACACAAACGCAAGCACAGGTACATGTACACATACAGTCAAATTCAGATACAGACGAGAATAAAGGATTGGGGTTGCCAAGTCAACTAGTAGTACAACCGGAAAGTGAGGTGCTGGGTGGTGAAGAGGTACCAAGGCGTATGTCTGATAGTGCTATGACTCGATCGACCACTCGAAGCACATCGGTACAGTCTGAGCCGGCCGTTCTACGCGATAGAGCCTCGGCACCTGTGTCACCCCGGGGCACTCCCATCGCCAGACGAGACACGGCACAGGCCGATACCACATCACTCACATACGCATACAGTACGGATGGGGAGGGCGGAGATGTGTCAGACATGCATACAGGTGATTATACTCAAACAGGCGGTGTTAAAAGCACACAGGAGCCAAACCACTTGCCTCAGGCACACATCCAGCAGTACTCGACGAGCTTACCCACAGCTGCCCAGTCACCGCAGTTGGGTGAAGGGATGGCTGCCGTAACCACTGCGCGAAGCAATAGCAATGTGAGTGAAAAGTCTAGTCGAATCAACTTCCCCTGGCGCAGAGATAGTGGTAAGAAGAGTGGGCTTGTGCGCACACGCCCGCATACCCATACTAACAGCGAGGGGGCTGGGGATGAACACAAACACGGCACACACGGTTCGTTTAGTGACAATGAACAAGCCATGCATGGGAATGGCAATGCCAGTGGAAGCGAACGAGCGGGGTGGGTGGGTGAACGGTCTAGTAGTGGCGGTTGGGCTGCGTCTAGGCTGCCACATGTGTTATCGTCCATCACCAGGCATAGGAAAGGTATGTTATAGCTGGAGGTGTTGTTGTATATACGAGATTTGGTCCTAGCCGTGTGTTGATGTGAGTTGGGAGGATG